GCCACCAAGACAGTTATAGTTAAAAGTTAAGCTTTTTTCTTTCTTTAATTCTTTTTTATTTCAACCTTTTTTTTTTTTTTTTTTTTTTTTTTTTTTTGGGTGGGGGTGTGTTGGTTGGTTGGTTTTTTTTTTTTTTCTTTTTTTCCTTTCGAGACAGGCTTTCTCTTGTGGCTTTGGAGCCTATCCTGAAACTAGTTCTTGTAGACCAGGCTGGCCTTGAAGTCACAGAGATCTGCCTGCCTCTGCCTCCCAAGTGCTGGGATTAAAGGCGTGCATCACCACCACCCAACTTTGGTTGGTTTTTCGAGACCTGGTTTTTCTGTGCAATCCTGGCTGTTCTGTAGACCATTCTGTCCTCAAATTTAGAGACCCGCCTGCCTCTGCCTTCCAAGAGTATTGGGATTAAAGGTGGCACTACCACCTGGCTGAAAGAATATAAAATTATGTTCCAGTGCTAGAATGTTGAAAAAAATAGCTACTACTACATTTTGAAGGTTTTTAAAATCATTTGACTGCAGTGTTGACTATCGTATCGGGTTAATTGTGTGCTTTAAAACAGTGTTTGTCCTAAATGCGCTGCTATCAGTTTGCAATAACACATCTGTGATCATAAGCGAGTTCTTAAAATAGAAAAGATGTATTAATAGGTAGATTAGAGCAGACGTAGAGTTTCAGTCTTAAGATTTTAAATGGGATAGACTAAACCCTGAGTTTTACTTATTTGTCTTGAGGTTGAACATTGCCTTGAGATCAATGTTTGTGCCTTTTATAGCTGATACATTAAGTTGTTAATGCCTTTTAAAAAATGTTAGATACTTGTTTAAAAATGATTTAGATTTACTTCAATAATTGTTCAATTTATTTTTAGTTTGTTAGTCTTTGGGTCCTATTATAAAAAAATTGTATTTTATAAGTGAGCTTTTCTATAGATTGTTAGAATTTTTTCTAGATTCATAGAAAAGCTATAGCAGCAGTGCAGTGCTTCTACATAAATTGTGACTGTCTTGTGTACTCAGCTTCCCCTCATGTGCTCAGACTCGAGAGAGGGCTTTCAAAAGTCACTTCCCTTACCTGGACAGAATAGAATGAAGTGCTGCAATGCTGTAACATAGGAACTTGCTTCCAAAAAATTCCCTTCTTTATACCATACCATATCCTCTGTAGTAGACTGTGATACTTTCTTAAAACCCATGTTGGAAATAAGCTTTAGAGAAGTGTGTGTGTTAATAGCTCCTTTATTGCTTGTTCCATAAATAAATAAATAAATAAATAAATAAATTTTTTTGGTATAAAAGCTTTCCGTGCTTTTTGCTGTTACTTCTGTAGGCTAACAGGGATTTTTTTTTCTCGTCCTCTTGAGTCTTGATACTTCCTTTTGTTGGTGACAGCAAAGCTAATTTTGGAGGGGGAACAACAGGGTCTCTTTTGTCCAGGCTGGCCTTGGGTTCAGTGATAGTCCTGACTCATGTTTTTTCCCTTCACATTGATGTGTGTCTTAGCTGAACTCAGTGTGCGGTGGTTCAGAAACATCACTGTACAGATAAAAGCACCTTCCTGTCCAGTAAAATTACTAATTGCAATTAGTAATTTATTTAAAAAATTTATTTTTCTTTTTGGAACAAGGTCTTTCCTTGTAGCCTCAAGCTTGTGATCCTTCTGCCTGAACTTCGTAAATGTTGGAAGTATAAGAATATGACATCATACTTGGTTTGACCATTTCTTGTTTAGATAAATGTAATAATAATTTTTTAAAAATTTACTTATTATGTATATAGTGTTCTGGGCACCAGATCTCATTATAGATGGGTGTGTGTCATCATGTGGTTTCTGGGAATAGAACTCAGGACCTCTGGAACATCAGTCAGTTCTCTTACCCTCTGAGCTATCTCTCTAGCCCCATAATAATAATTTTTTTTAGTAAAATAAAATATTGTAATTTTTTTATTTATTCATTAATTCATTTACTTATTTATTTATTTTTTAGCCATTCAGATAGTTTTGGAAATTGGTCACGTAGAACAGTACTTTTTTATTTTTTATTATTTATTTATTTATTGCCAATTTACCTTTTAAATAGATTTTTCTGTAGCTGGCAAGCTGCCTCAGCTGTCAGGAGCACTGGTTTCTCTTCCAAAAGACCCAGGCTCAATTCCCAGAAACCACATGACATCTCAAGACTGTCTTTGCCAGTCTTTAATCCCAGCACTCCGGAGGCAAAGGCAGGTGGATCTCTGAGTTCGAGAACAGCCTGGTCTACAAGAACTAGTTCCAGGACAGATTCCAAAGCTACAGAGAAACCCTCTCAAAAAAACAGGGGGAAAAAATGGGCTGTCTGTCCTTCCAGTTCCAGGGGATCTAATGCGGTCTTCTGGCCTCTGTGGGTATAGCACGCATGTGACACACAGACTTACACACAGACAAAATCTCCATACCCATAACAATAATGAAACTGTAAATTTAAAAGTTGACTTAGAATAGGCTGAAGACAGTTGTGTTTATTCATTTGATCATGGTTATCAGATGGGCCCACTACTGTGCTGGACTGTGTTCTGTGTGATATTTACTATGCCTGAGGGAGATAAAAAAAAAAATGCTACCCTCTTAAATTTGAAGCTACCAAGAATAATTATGAAGCCTGTGGCAGCAGGGTCCCTTCTTTTCATGAAGAGACTAGTAAGAGAGTTCGGTCTCTTGATTTATTAAGGAACTCAAAACTGAGAAGGTATTCCTGCTAGTAAGAACAGAGATGGCAGCCAAGAGGAGGAGATCCACATGCTGTCTTCTGCTGTGCAGCTGGGTGCTAAGGATCTATCTACCCTTACTCAGTAGTCCCTGCTACATACAGATCTCTCTCCTCTCTTGCTGTCAACAAATCTCAAACTTTCTTCCTTGTAATTCTCTATATACGTAGCCGATCTTTAAAAATTTATAAAAGGTTCCATGAAAAGAACTCTTAGGTGTCAGTCTCCGAGACTTGTTACTGGAGCCAAGAATGCTGATTTGTTTGCATTGTTTTTGTTCTTGTTATTTTACAAATAGCTAAGACTCCTTAATAGTTGCTTTTGAAGAGGCAAAAAGTCATTTTTAAAAAATGATTATTTATCTATTCCTACCCATGCATATGCCATAGCACACATGTGGATGTCAGGACAACTGGGAATAGTCAGCTCCCTCTGCCATGTGAGTCATGGGACTGGCACTCAGGACATCAGACTTGGTGACCTGCCCCTCACCCACTAGGCTATTTCATAGTCCAAAAGAGTCGTATTATTTTAGTTTGTGAATTGTCTTTTAAGTATCCATACTACTAAATACATAGTAAGTATCCATTGTTGATCTTTAGGTTGAAGTTGGTTTGTTTTTCACTGTGGATTGATAATTTTTTGGGAGGTATGTGTGTACATGTGTGTGTTCATGCATGTGGATGGCACATGCATGAGGGCAACCTGTAGGACGCAGTTCTTTCCAATGAGTGGATCCTAGGAATGGGCTCAAGTCATCAAGCTTGATAGTAGGGGTCCTTAGCCACTCAGCTATTTTGTATCCCCAATTATTAAACAAAGGTTCATATATAAACACAATCTATATGTTCTTGAGAGGATACAGAAGTTGTTAGATTGAATTTACATATTAAATGTGAACTGCAAAATGCCTTGGAACAATAGAAAGCAAAGGATGCTTCATCATGGAAATCACTACTAGCGTCTTCGCTAGGCAGTGGTGGTGCATGCCTTTAATCTCAGCACTTGAGAGGCAGAGGCAGGTGGATCTCTGTGAGTTTGAGGCCAGCCTGGTCCACAAGAACTAGTTCCGGGACAGGCTCCAAAGCTACAGAGAAGCCCTGTTGTCTAAAAAACAACAACAACAAAAAAGTACAGTCTTCATAAATTGGCTAAATGACATGATATACTGTTGTTTGAGCTAGGAGTTGCCCAGAAACATATTATTCTTTAGGTATGTACTTATCACAGTCTCTCCTGAGTTGTTAACCATGTCACAAGGCCCTGTGTCTCTTTCTGCTGTCATCTTTCTCCTTTTTGCTAGAAATGCTTCAGCTTTTTAAAAATGATTTTTAAGAGATTTGTTCTGAAATAGCTATGCTTTGATTTTAGTAATGAAACAGAGGAGTAAGTTTACTTTAGATTTTGTGATTCTGTTAAATCTGACAATTATTTAGGGCAATAAAAACTTTCTGTTAGCAACAGTATTTTGTATACAAGAGTTTTGCACATCTTAAGGTTTTGATATTCTTGGAAAGTGGGAGCCCATATACATCAAAGAAGGCTTTTTTATTACATTGGGTTATGCAACACTTTGGCCAGCCTCCTTAACTTCATCTGTTTAAAGGTTCATTCTTCCTTATTTGGCACAGGTCCCAGTAAGAGGCCTTCATATTTGTGGTTAGCAACATGAATGAATCACAAACTGTGGAGGAGCTCTTCAGTTAGTAGAGTTGGCGTCCTGCCAAAAAGACAGTGCCATATATGGGGTCAGGGCAAAGCTGTGATTGGTTGAGCTCTGCATTGTATAGAAAACATTCTTGTGATGCCTGTTTGCTTTCTTTTAAAACAAAAACAAAACACCACAAGCAGCAGGCTTCCAAGTGTACCAGAATAGGAAGTAACAAAGCACTGTGCAGGTTTTTCTGACAGTAGAGTTAAGCAATAGCAACATGACTTTGAGCAGTTAAAATACTAGAAGTTGAACCTTTGCCTTCTACAGTCCGCTTGTTTTGTACGAAAGGCAGCATTTGTTAAACAAATCTGTTGTCTACCTGCCTGATTTTCTAAATGGCTTAATGAGATTAAAGAATTAGTTCTAAGTTCACAGGGTTATCATACTACTAGGTTTAGATTCACTCCTTAAAAAATATTGTAGTTTTCACAAATTGGCAGACGTCAAAATAGTGTATCTAAAATGGCAAATAGTGCTAGGACTGTAGGAGGTGACCTTAGCTGTTCCAGTCTGAATCAGTGACTGCTGTGCTTCTTTCCATGCAGGCAAATGCCCTCTCTGGACCTTCCCTTAGTCAGGCACCAGCTCATCTGTATGGCAGTAGATTGAATCCAAATCCACCCATGGCCGTTCTCATAGCACAGTCTGAAAGCAACCAAACAGGTAAAGCCCTCCCCGTGCACACTTTCTCTGTTAGTTCATTTTTCTTAAATAAAATAAAAAAAAGTAGAGAAAGAAAAAACAGCTAGGGATTACATTTTTATGTTGCTTTTCTTTTTTTTAAAAAAAGAAAAGAACCACAATTTGAAATAAGTAGACACCATGCTGCAAGCACTGCTGTGTTTTCTCCTGTCTGAAATGTAGCTGTTTGAGCTGAGCCGTGAGCAGCAGGAGTGACAGTGTCTCCTGTGACTTTAGTGACAGATGCTTCAGCCATCTATTCTGTGCAGTGCAAAGAACACAACACTGGGTTTGCTGTGAATAGCCCAAGCCTTTATTTGCATAATTCATGAAATTGAATTACACAAACTTTGTTTTAAAAAAATATCCTGTTAGAGGATTTCTACAGTGTTTAGTAATCCTGTGATTTTTTTTTAAGCCAGTTGATATTTGTAGTATTACTTTAATTACCTCTGCGTTTACTTTGTTTCATTCCATCTTTAAGGGTTTGTTGGCATGTCCTAGTCTGCCTGGGGAGGGAATGGCTTTACCAGTTGACAAGAATGGATCACTCACCATGTCTTTACCCTTCAAGGGCCAGTGGCTGCCTGACTTAGAGTAAGGGGTGGAGGGAACCTGAAAGAGGCCAGAGAGATGCTAAAAGACTCTGCAGGTGAATGAAAGCTACTTGGGAGATGAAGATCTCATCTATATATTTGTCAAGGGTTAAAATCATTTTAATAAAGGTTCTTAGGGTGTTGGGTTTTGTTTTTTTTTTTTTTTTGCCAATTTGGATATATGTTACATTTACTCTTATGAAGAGTCACTTAATTTTAGTCTTGGCATATATGGTGCTGTAGAAATGTATTTTGTAACTTTGTTCGGGATACGAGGTGTTAAAAAATAAAGCGCATAAGGATTTGCTGTGATGAGCATACAGATCAGCTCTCTACAGCTGTGATTCATTACTTTAACCGTAGAAATTACAAGTGGCTGAGGGGAGGGCAGTACAAATTCAAACCACGCTTCTGTGCTGTAATATTGAAAGGAATGAAAGAAGAGAACATAATCCATGGCCTTCTACACCCACAAAAACGTGTACAGACGACGTTTTACACACTACAGTTCAACGGTTCTCAACAGCAGCATGCCAAGTCTTCCACTGTCATAACTGAGCTTGATATATATTTTCGGAAAACTCAGAGCAAGAGTTTGAAACCTCTTATCTAGTAAGAGAGACACTTTATAATTTCTGAAATATTTACACTGCAGATCAAGATCTCGGAGACAGTAACCGAAGCTTAGTTGGTCGAGGAAGCTCACCGCGAGGAAGCCTCTCACCAAGGTACGCATTGTTCATACTGCAAACCATAGGGAAGGAACACTGAGATTGGGAACTTGGTTATCTTGAGCAGTAAAGTATATATTTGTTGAGGCTATAAAAACATTTTGTAAATAAGAACCCTGTCTAGACAGTCAAGAAAAATGATTCTCAATTAATTGAAATATTAATTTTAAACATGTTATTAGATTTCTAAGCTAAAAGGAATACATTTTCATATGTTTTTAATCAGTTTGAAATATTTATCATTTGTATATTTAATTTCTGATATAATTAATGCATTGACTTGGGTGATCATTTTTTACATAAAATATCTGAAGATTCAAACCCAAGACTATCACTGTTGGGTTACAGCTTTGGCTAAGTCTCTTAGATGCTACCCTACAAATGAAGATTTTAATAAGTCCCTCTATTTCCTTTTAGATTGTTTGAAGCAGAGTATAGCCAATATGTTATGTGTTTCATTAATTTTCTTAGGTTTTAGGTGGTACTACTGAACCACCCAACACTGTTTAATCTATCAGAGTGGGAGTATGGAGCTATAGAACTTCTGTTCTAAAGAGGGCTGTTGCTGTGGAGTGGGTGTCAGTTTGTAGACGGGCATGGAGTTTAGTGCTGTCTGTTTTCTTATTCCATTTTCAACCTCTGCATCCTTCTCTAGTTTGCTTTTTCTGTGTTCTCCAGTTTTATAAACTCTGCCTTACATTAAGTTGGTTGAGGGTAAAAACAGAAGGAAAAGCCAATTCTTGGTTCTTTTCATATAAGGAAGAAAGTAACTGCAAATGAGAACCTTTCATATTCTGACACGAGGAACATTCAGGTTGACTACCCAGTTGGGGAATGTTTTTAAGGAGTACTTTCTTTGTCCTTATAGACACTCGTCCAGTAACCTCACCCGTTTCCTAATGGTACCTTGAGTATACCTTCCCCACATAATTCCGGTAGTAAGCAACTATATGTAAGAAGTAATGCTGTTTTTCCTTATTAAACCAGAGATCGGAACTACAGAATGAGAGAGTTATGAAATTGCTGGTCTGTAATTTTATATTGTATTTCTGTACTGTTAAGTTTCTTTTCAGATGAGACTGTTAATGGGATCTTGCTCCTGTTTAGTACAGGAAGAGTTTTCTTGTCCCTCTTAAACCTAAAACATTACACAAGTTATGTAAAATGTGTTCAGAATCCCTTAGTGCAATTTTGCTTCGTGAAATTTTTATTTTTTTAAAAACAGGCCATAGTACAGTGAATGATACTAAATTATCTTTAGTGTGCATTTAGAACGCTACATTACTCTTTAAATATCAGCCTGGAGTGGTCCAACTTATTCTTCCATAACGTGTTCAGAAAATAGCGGCCAGCTCTTGATGCTTGCCTCACGGCTTGGAGTCCTCCTTTTAAGGGATCGCTGTATAACAAGCTTATGACAGAAGCGCTGGTGCATTGCTAGCAGACGCTGTGTTCCAGCTGTGCACCCGTGAGCAAGCCACAGAAGCCCCTCCCAAATCCCCACACCTCCTTTCTCCTTATTTGAACATGGAGTCTGTAAAACCACTTTCTAGAAAATACTCAGAAAACTTAATATCTTTCCTGATATAAAGGTAGAGTGGAGACCAGATACCAAAGATGCCTCAACCCCATTTATTTATGTAAAATCAAAACTGGACATGGGAACATTACATGTTCATTTTCATTCATCTCTGTTTGAAGAACTAACCTAAACATTTTAAAAATTAAAAATTTAAAAAAAATCTGCATTCTATACATAAAATTGCTTTGTACTGAATGATCTTCCTTAGAACTGAAACAGGTTTTCATTTTCAATTCAGAATCGTTAGATTTTCTTTTCACTGAACTTGAGAATTTCCTTGGTTGTGAATTCAAAAGTCTCCCACAGTGTTACACTTCTGATAGTGTTTATATTAAGAAGACAGTGGTAGAATTTTCTGGCTATTTTAATTTAATGTGTATGTATGCTTTGCCTGCATGTATGTATGTGTACCACATGAAGACGTAGTGCCCAGGGTGGTCAAAAGTGTGCATCAGGTCCTCAGGAATTAGAGTTACAGATGATTGTGGCCACCATGTATGTTCTGAGCACTAAACCTGGGTCTTCTGCAAAAGCAGCCAGTTCTCCTCACCCTGAGCTGTCTCTGCAGCCGCTTCCCCTTTCTGAGTAAAGTTCTCCTACTGTCTGTTTCCCGTATCTCATAAAGAAAGCCATACTGTTTGCTTGCAGTCTGTTTCAGAGATTATTAGTAGTTTGTTTTCTAATGATTTTTTTTAAATTTCCTTCTGTGTTCAGCTATTTTAATTTCTCATTTAGGGAGGAAGAATGATAATGACTCAATTATGGTTTTATGAGACCTGATACCTCTGCCATAGGCCACTTGGTACCAGAAATATTTGTACAGGAAAAGGGGCTATGCACAGCTACTTAGAAGCATTCCCTTTTTTAACTTGAGAATTAATATTTTTGACAGATCCCCTGTAAGCAATTTACAGATTCGCTATGATCAACCAAGCAATAGCAGTTTGGAAAATCTGCCTCCAGTAGCAGCAAGTATTGAACAACTTTTGGAGAGGCAGTGGAGTGAAGGACAGCAATTTTTATTAGAACAGGGCACTCCTAGTGACAGTAAGTATTCTTTTTCTTGTGTCTAAAAATGGAACAGCATTGGGTGGAACGACACATAGATTAATGGATGCAGAAGAAACTGTTTACCAAGATAATAATGACATGACGGCATACACTTCGTATAAGTAGTGGCGGTATGGTGCTAGGCTTTGGCAGAGCTGACTCTACAGTGTTAACTCCAAACTTGTCTTTGTATGATCACATGCAAGGGTTTGGTTTGGTGTGGTGTGGTTTTTAAGTTCTTTATTCTTTTATTTTTGGAATTGGGAGTAATACTATACCTGTAACCTAGGGTTGTTATGAAGGTAAATTACATGAAAAGTTGGGAAAATTGCCTTAAGTGCTTTTTGTTAGCTGGTTATTGTTGAAACACAGCATAGCATGCTGCTCTTTCTCTGTCATACTATACTTCGTTTTTGTCAGCTTGTGGAAACACACAGTGTCTCCTCTCAGCCTAGCATTTGAAAAATATATGCCTACTCCCAGAGATCTTTTAAAACAATTTATCTAGGGGCTAGAGAGATGGCTCAGCAGTTAATAGTGCTGGCTGTTCTTCCAGAGGACCAGGGTTCAATTCCCAGCACCCACATGACAGCACACAACTGTCTGTAACTCCTTTACAGGGTATCGAACACCCTACACAGACATGTATGCAGGCAAAATACCAATGCACATAAAATACAAATAAATAAATTAAAAATATTTCTAGTCAGGGATAGCTAGGTATCTGTTTTACAATTTAAAGAATGATAATTAGGCAGGCTTGGTGATACCTGTTTCTAATTCTGTCACTTAAGAGATAGAAGCAGGTGGCACATGCCCTAAATCCCAGCACTTGTGAGGTAGAGGCAGTCGAATCTCTGTGAGTTTGAGGCCAACCTGGTCTTTATAGAGAGTTCAGGCCTCGTCAAGGGTTCCTTGTTGAGACCCTGTCCCCTGAAAAGGAATAGTAATTAGCAAATTTTATATTTAATTGAAATGTTCACCATATTTTTGAAATTATATGATGTGCATTGTATATACATATTTAGTACTTTTAAGCATTAAAACTACAAGGGAAAATACCAAAACAAACAAAACAAAACAAAACAAAACCCAGAAAAAGCAAAGTTGGAACAGATGAGGGAGAAGAGCAGGTGGTTTCTGTCACTTTGGCATGGAAGATTTCACTCTTTGTTTTAGGAAAACAAGATTTTTTTTTTTTTTTTTAGTTGCTAGTGAGCCATGTGCTTTAAATGGATATTTTTATGAATGGTGCCTCTGCCTAAAACTGGCGATTGTGAGGAAATTGATGTGCAGATAACCTTTTACAGGTTAACTGGAGGGTGGGTCTCATCTGGACTTCCCTTAAGGGAGAAAGTTTTGTCTTATACTGCTAGAGCTGTGGTTGTCTGGAGACCCCGAGGTTCTGTTAAGCAAATACAACTTTTTAATAGCTGGAGTTTTTAAAGTGTCCATCACTGTGGCCTAACAGCAACACTCTTGATTATCAGCTGGAAGTCCCACCCTTGGAGGAATTAACACAGCATCTGAGGTGGTCTGGCAGGGCTGGATGCTTGTTAACAGATGAGGCCTTTCTCCTGGAAGAGAGAAGTAGCAGGGTGCAGATACAGCGCTCCCTGCTGGGGAGCCTGCAGAGAGACAGGCTGAGCAGCTGGGATGGCAGGCTTTCTGCTGGGTGTCTGGTGGCATGCTTGTGTTTTGTTGAGGCTGCTGCTACTGCTGTTACTGTTTTGGGTTCTTGAGGAAACAAATGCCATCTTTTTCTGAGGATAAAAACCTACTTGAACTTGATTAGGTTGGGGTTCTATTTATTTGATCAATATTGGCAGCAAATCTTCAATGTGTCACGTGTAGGAACAGTCTTCCTTTGTGTATACACTCCTATATCTATCTGTATTCAAATTTAGGAATAAAGCTCAGTCATTCGGTATACAGAATTTCCACATTTTCATTTCATTTCTAAAGCAGTTGATGCTTTGACCATAAAAGTCTTAGTCATGGGAGTGGAGTTGCCATTACTGAAAGTCACACAAATGATTTGCTAGTTTTAGGAATGCTGAAGTCATTACACCAACTTCAAGTTGAAAATCGAAGATTAGAAGAGCAAATTAAAAACTTGACTGCCAAAAAGGAACGTCTTCAGTTACTGAACGCACAGCTTTCCGTGCCTTTTCCAGCAATAGCAGCCAATCCTAGTCCACCTCATCCGATACACACATTTCCTGCACAGACTGGTGAGTGTTGAAGGAAATGTCACCTACATAATCAGCAGTAACTGGTTACCAGTTATGTGAAGAGGTCGAAACAAATGGTGGGTTACTTCTGAGGGACATAGACAACCCCTGTTAATTGTCTTGAGTTTGTTTTCATTTCAGTGCATAGTTTAATGGTAAAATTTATTTAAATGATCTCAATTGACTTAAAGCTACAGTATTCAGCACTTACCCCTGCCCTATTGTAATTAGCTTTAGGAATAACAGGACAATAGACTTCAGCATATGTTTTTAAAGTAGCCTTTAATTTTACACATAATACAATTAATTTAACAGAGTACTTTTTTTTAATCTTTTACTCTTTTTAGCTCCTACTACGGATTCGTTGAACAGCAGTAAGAGCCCACATATAGGAAACAGCTTTTTACCTGACAATTCTCTTCCTGTATTAAATCAGGTAATTTTTTTGTGTGTGGTTATATTCATTTGTATGTTTTACTTGTGAATAGTAGCATATTACACTTGATTTTAAATTATTTTAAACAGTTTTGATGTGTTCTTTCCAACGTGTGTTTTTCTTCTTCCTTACACTAGGACTTAGCGTCCAGCGGACAGAGCACCAGTGGTTCTTCTGCCCTTTCTACCCCCCCTCCTGCTGGGCAGAGTCCAGCTCAGCAAGGGTCCGGAGTTAGCGGGGTTCAGCAGGTCAATGGTGTGACAGTAGGGGCACTAGCTGGTGGAATGCAGACTGTAACATCCACCATTCCTGCCGTGTCTGCAGTTGGTGGAATAATTGGAGCTTTGCCAGGTAACCAACTGGCAATTAATGGCATCGTAGGAGCTTTAAATGGTGTGATTCAGACCCCTGTCACAATGTCCCAGAACCCCGCCCCCCTCACCCACTCCAGTGTACCACCTAATGCGGCACATCCAATGCCGGCAGCTGCACTGACTAACAGGTAAGAAACTGACTTCAATGGAGTTTTTATTATTTTTCTTTTGTTTTATTTTCCATGCAACATGTTATCACTGTTGCCCTTGTTCTGGATTAGGAGTTTTAATGTATTTTGTAGAAGTTCTCTAGGAAAATGGCTACCCAATCTCATTGAGTAAGTGCTTGTTACTCATTGTAATTTTTAGACTGATAAAATTCAATTAAAAATCAGTTTCAGTAAGATAATATATACATTCCATGTTGAAAATGTCATTCCCATTTTGTGATATGTGGCTTTAAATGTTGCTCTTTTTTTTTTTTAAGATTTATTTATTCTGTATGCAGTATTCTGCCTACATGCATGCCTGCAAGCCAGAAGAAGGCACCAGATCTCATTATAGATGGTTGTGAGCCACCATGTGGTTGCTGGGAATTGAATTCAGGACCCTTAGACGAGCAGGCGGTGCTCTTACCCACTGAGCCATCTTTCTAGCCCCCTAAATGTTATTCTTTCTTATCCCCTCCTTCTATATATGTTTATCTTACTCTGCAAAGGTATTATGGCAGACATGTGATACTAGTTCTGCAAGATTTAGCAGCACAAGCACAATTTTGATATTCTCTAATCAAAACTTTGATATTCTCTAATCAAAAATTTTGATGAAGCAAGGGATAGATGATTATTACATATACTTTATTACAAACCCATAAATTGTGTTTGTGCTTATTTAAAATGACTTTTAAATAAGTCTTTAATAAAAAGACTTTTAAATAAGACTTTTAAATAAGTCTTTTGACAGTGCGTTCCTGCTTCATTGTATACATGTGTATAGAAAAAAAGAATGATTTGTGCATAATGAAGTGTTGTAGGTAAAGCTGAGTTTGTTAAATGCCTACTGGAAAGGCTGCCTTTGACACCATCCCTGAGAAGGCTGCCGTAGAAATAAGGGTTGCAATGATTTTTCAGTGCCTCGGGGCTAGGACTCCTGTCCGACCAGCAGAGACAGATGTTCATCCAGCAGCAGCAGTTCCAGCAGCTGCTTAACTCCCAGCAGCTCACACCCGTAAGTTCTTTGAGATTTTTTCTCTTTTTTCTTTCTTTCTTTCTTTCTTTCTTTCTTTCTTTCTTTCTTTCTTTCTTTCTTTCTTTCTTTCTTTTTTTTTTTTTTTGTTAGAGTCTGGTACTATATACTATAATAGATGTTGATTATGGTAAAGACCCCTCTGTTGTGAATGGCTATCCATAAAGTTGCCTTACCCTTTGACATAACCTATACCATCACATTTGTTGATTGTTTTACAAATGTTAGAACATGTATTGTAGGGCTTACTAGGCTCTGGGGATTGGAAGCAAGCTGTAACTTCCTGGTGGTTCACTCTGAGAGGGGAGGTAATGAGTACACCAATTCTTATGTTGGTGATAAATTTCAAAAAGGCAAATGAAATAGGGTTAGGGCTTTAGATGGTCCAAGGGATGAAGTAAGGTGAGGGCCATTTTACTTTCCATGGTGTTGGGAGTAGAACCTGGGGCCTCAGTGTGATAGGCTTGCTGGACTAGCATCCTGTTATGGCTCTCCATCACGAGTTTGAGTTTTAGATGGACTGGTCCAAGCTTCATGGGAGATGGCATTTGAACCATCATTCTGCCACCTCTCTCTAATAGTTAGATCAGCTGTGCTGATCCTGCTTCATTCATGCCCTAGTTTTCCTTCTTTCTTAAAGGATTCATTGGAGAATATTGAACTTGAACAATGATAAATGATAGTGATCAAGGGTTTAGAAAGATTAGTTGCTTTATGGAATCTGTTTTTGGAGGGAAGAAAGATGGGTTCAAAAGAAATAGGAATCACAAACAGTTTGTATCCTGATACAGTGCCATCTCTGGTAAGATATCTATAGAATTGTATATTTTGCTGATAACAAGAAAAAGAGGAACCTTGAACAGTTGGGTGTTGACTTTTACAGACATGTAGGGGAACAGAAAGGAAGTCATTTTCCTGAGAAATAGTAATTCCCTTATCACATACAGTTCATCCTTCAGACCCATGGGTTCCCCATCTGTTGGTTCCTTTGTTTTCAAATCAAAAATATTTAAAAACAAATATGCATTTGTTCTGAATTGTTTTTGCTACAATTCTCTGGACAACACTGTTTAACTATACATTATTATTCATTATTTTCTTTGTATTCTAGCAATGGTTTTGAAGTGTATGGGAGAGTTACACAAGTTAAACACAGACACTATGCCTTTTTTGGAGACAGAGTATTGATATGGATCCCTAGCTGGCTTCGAATTCATAGTCCTCCGTCAGCCCCTCAAGTGCTGCGATTTCAGGCATGTGAAAAGCAGCTTTTTAACCATGTCCCAAAGATGTAAGATAAAGTTTACTTCTAATATTTTAGTGTATTGGATAGGATAGCACATGCCTGTAATCCTAGCACTTGGGAGTGGAAGCCAGACTAACCATATGAGACAGTTTTAGAAAACCAAAATCCCACCCTCGTGTTGGCCCCTATCACTACCACCATTTGTCTACGCACAGATGGTGACAGACTTCTAAGTCCAGTGGTCATTTCCTTGTGTCTTCCTGACCTGGCAGTTACATCTGACAGCTGCCATTCCCTCCAGCTGCTGTGACATCACAGTCCTACCTAGCTAGTCCATTTTGTTCCCCTTTTGGATCTTCTTCTTCTCTTCAACCTTCCTAGCAATGCCCTTCACTCTCAGGTGTTTCTGAGTGGTCCATGTGCAGATGTAGGCATCTTCAGATTAGACCTCTGTCCAGAGCATTCCACTCTGGATCCGCCTGCTTACTACATAGCTGCCCTTGCACTCACAAGTCCTAGAGTGAGCTACCGTGCTTGGCTGCCCCACTCGCCCCAACTTTATTCTTGCGGTTGCTAAAGTCAAAAACTATAGTCATTTTTTACATACTCCAGTGACTTCATCAAGTAATCCCTTCTCATTTCACTGGGTGTGATGGCACACAACTTTAATCCCAGCATTCAGGAACAGAGGTAGGCACTCCATATAAATGAGTTTCAGGCAGGACAGGGCTGCATAATGAAACCATGTCTGTCCCCTCTACTCAACTTTCTCCTGACTTCCCAGCTGGCCTCTCCTGGTCTCAGTGGGAACCCTGCATTCTTTTCCCTCCTTAACTGCTGGCCAGGACTGCCTGCCAGCCTCATTGGGCTCTTGTAGGTCCAGACTGTATCCTCACAAGGTCTCATTGAGAACCTAGAAATGTTCCTTATCCACTTCCAGTGTCCTCCAAGTCTTCGTCCTATGTTAACTTCACAGAGTTGCCCTGACTACTTAATGCATCCTCACAGACTTTGTCTAGCATTGTTTCTCATTCCCTAGGCAGGCAGGGACACTGACCATCATATTTCCCAGACAGCTAATTACAGTGTCTAATCATCAGCATCCAGGAAATCTATGTTGAAAGGAATTTATGCTTGCTGAAAAGAAGAATCCAAAACTACAGCAAAAAGAATACTTGTTAAGAGTGAATAGCAACTTTTAGATATGTTAGAAAAGAGTTAATGGCAGGGTTTGGCCCTTGGGATGCAGGTGTAAAGTAGCTAGCTAATGGCAGTGTGATTGCCTGCTGCAATTGGTCCCTCTGGTGCTGTGACAAAACACTGACCCAAGCAATGTACGGAAGAAAGGGCTTGTTGTAGCCTACAGGTTTACCATCCAGGGAAACACAGCAGGAACTCTGCTTACTGACTTACCCCTCTTGGCTTGTCCAGCATGCTTTCTTCTCCACTCTGTCTTGGGGTGGCACTCTCTTCAGTTGCCTGGGCCCTCCTACATTAGTCACTAGCCAAGAAAATGCCCAACAGACTTGTCTGTAGACCAGTCTGATGGAGGTATCTTCTGAGTTAAGGATCTCCCTTCAGATAACATGCTTGTGTGTGAACCAGAGCCAGAGCAGCCCAGTGCTCGAACTGCTGCTGTTCCCACTCTGTGTTCACGATGGACAGCCTCATTTGAATACACTTCTCCTATCTTTACTTTGCTGTGTTTTAAAAATGGTCAATTCTCAGGTGGTCCTGGGGATTTCAGTAAATGGTTATTACCTAGTGCAATTGTTTTTCTAGATGCAGCTATTTATTTATTCCTTCATTTATTCATCCATTCATCCATTTATTCTGATTAGGCTCCATCATATAACCCTGACTGGCATGGCACTACATAGACCAAGCAAGCCTGGAAATTCATAGAAATCCGCCTGCTTCTGCTTGTCGAATGCTGGAATTAAAGGCCTGAGCCATCACACCCAGCTCTTGTAGCTCTTTTTTAATAGTGTGAATGTCATTTACTTTTAAATAATAGTGTAAAAGAAATAAAAAAGGAATGTTTTGCTGACAATTGTATTCTCTGACTGAAGCTCATCTTCTCTCGCATTTTTGTTGAAGGAACAGCACCAGGCCTTTCTGTACCAGCTAATGCAGCAGCAGCACCCACCTGAGCTCCAGCAGCTACAGCTCCCTGGGCCCACACAGATCCCCATCAACAACCTCCTTGCAGGCACTCAGGCGCCCCCACTTCATACAGCCACCACCAACCCCTTTCTCACCATCCACGGGGACAACACAAGTCAGAAAGTCACGGTAAGTATGTTTCGTGATATACTTTGGGAGGCAAAGATCATAGTGAGCAGAGATGGGTGAGTGCTCTTTAGCCAATGTTTCCTTCATAAAACCAGTTGTTTCAGCAACTGGATATTGTAAATAGGTCTGAGCCAATTGAATTTCCATATGAGGTTTGAAGGCATTTTCCAAAATGTTTTAGTTAGCGAGATATGAGATAGCCCATTCAAAACAGATTATTTAAAACGAGATTTTAATTTGTTTATACAATTTTTCTCCCTTCGATTTTATGTGTTTAATTATTTTGTTCCAACGTGCTTTTTAAAATGATGTTACATATTTGATAGGGTAAATATGCAAACTTAGGGCAGTATTCTGAACTTTGTACCAGATTCCTTAAAAACATTGTACCAGAGAGAAGACTGCAGTACTTGAGGGTATCCAAAGCACCCGAGTTCAGCTTCAGCCCCACAGCCGCAACTGCTTGTAACTCCAGCTCCAGGAGGGCCATGCCCTTCCCTGGCTTCTGTAGGCCGCTGCGCACACGTGCATAAACCTACGGACAGTTGCACACATACACAAATTTTAAATCTTCAAAAAATTAATTGTAATCACAATTTTAATAGAATATAAAACTTCAATGTATTGATTTTATGATTTGTAAGTCAGCATCTCGCCCTTTGGTAACTGAAGATGGGTGAGACCGCACGAACAGCCTGTGCACAGGAGCTTGGGTTAGGGCTGCTTCCCTGTGTTAGTTCCCCAACCCCAGGTGAGGACAGATGCATGGAAGAGGAAGGCACTGCACTAGAGCAGGGAAGCCAGGTCAGGAGCCAGAAGGAGGAAGAGGCCTGGAGATTGGGTGGGCAAGGGACTCAGGAATGTTAGCACTGGTATTGCCATGCTCCATTGCTTTGAGATTTCTCTCCTGTTTTAATGTTAACCTTCAGAAACATTGGTGTCCATTTAGTAATGAATACTGCTTCAAAATCTGGGCTAGTTATTGAGAGTCCTTTGTATTTGTCCTCTTCTGTGCCTGCTTCCTGAGTGTGAGTACTGTCACCACGGATCTTGTCCCCTTTCTCCATCAGTGATTCTGTGTTTATTTGTATGGACATGTGATACCATCTCCCATGGATATGTTCCATATTTAAAATAGGTTAATTATAAGCCACTTGTTCCCAAGTTATGCAATATGAGATACTTTAAATGGAAGAATCATAATAATAATTGGAGAATAGCCATCCTCCTGGGGTGTTTCCAGTACATGCCTGTAAACTGCTTGGGTGGCTGCAGCAGGGGATCATGAGTTAGAGTCAAGTCCTGAGTCATGTAGAGAGACCTCTTCTGTCTGACAATCTGTCTGGATCTCTCTCCCCTTCCCCCAACACCTTCTCAAAGACAGGGTCTCTACAAAGTCCTAGATGTTCTAGAATTCACTTTGTAGATTAGGCTGGCCTCAAACTCATGGAGATCCACCTGCTTTGGCTTCTGAGTACTGGGACTAAAGGTGTGCACCACCACACCTGCCTGAGACCCCATCTCAAACACACAACAGAGCACTGAGAGGAGAGTGGACTGTGAGGGAAGTCGTGGGGTCCCTGCAGGTCCCAGGTCCATGGGATACACTGTCATTGAGAGGATAGGTACGGCCCCCTCAGAAAACATACAACATTGTGGTCAGAACAGTGGCTTTCTTAGTCCATAAAACTGCAGTATTGGCTATACTTTGCTTCTCTTTGGAAAAGTGTATATGAAAGGGCAATTTTGCACCCCTTCCTTGGGGACTGTTGAAGGACGGGCACACCACCTTTATGCCTTCACATATGCCCAGTGTGGTTTCTAAAGACTTTCTTAGAAAACTCATGTTCATTGTACTGCAGAGTAGCCAGCTTCAGGATAAACCACATGTGCTGCTTGTATCAGTTACAGTCTTAGTTAGAGGGTATTGTCTTGGCCAGAATTGATTGTACTAATGCTTCTAATTTGTTTTGTTTTGAATCACAGAGACTTAGTGATAAAGCTGGACCTGTAGCTCAGGAGAAAAGTTGACACTGAAAGCCTCCTCTGCTCCTGCTCCCCCGGGCGGCTGCTGCAGCTCTGCACAGCTATGATGACGGAAGAGGCGGCAGGGGTACACAGGAAAGGCATCACGTGTGCTCTTGGGAGGCTTTGCTTTAGTTTTCCTGTCACTTTGTTGCACTGAAATGAAATTCCTATATCCCCATCCCCTGCCAGAGTGTTTGAACTTTGGAAGAAAAATAAATAACTTTTTTGTCAATGATATAAAAAAAATGATAAAAAATGATAAACATGCAGAGTTTATCAACCCAAGAAAATGTAATGTGCTTGCTACCCAGCTGGTTTTGTTACACGTTGAAGACACAGATAGGAAGACTAAAGACTTCTCATTGGCAAACCACGTGGTTTATTGTAAAAGTTGGGATATGAAATATGATCTCATTCGGGATAGAATGTGGCTGCTCTTTAGGGCACAGCGTAAGTTTTGAGAATTGTCCACCTTCTATTCCTGCAATTGTAGTCACTGACCACCGTGATCATACAGGTCCTCACCTGGGGCTTTGCAAATGCTTTAAAAATTCCATTCTAATGAGATTTGTCCGTTTGCTGATCAGGTTAGGATGGAAACACCTGCTTCTGCTGACAGTCTTGCAAAAAAGAATATTTTTTTATTGTTAAAATCTATTCCATTTAAAGAGATCTTGAGTTAAGTGAGTTCTAAGGCTGCTGGGAAAACCAGATCAATTGGAAATGAATAATTTTTTTTCAGAAAGAGACACCAATGTGGAAACTGCTGGTAGGGTCTGGCCTAGATCAAGTGCCTGTTCGGACTCCAAATGAAAGGGCTCCAGACAGCAGAGTCGGCCACTGTGCCAGCAGCCGTCCCCGAGCCTCTGCCTTTGTTGAGACTTCTCTACGCCACTGTCGAGCTCATGCAAACTCTTACCTGGGTATTTGTCCACTCATGACTCACAAGGAAGCAAGTGGATTGGGGAGAGTATATACAATCAACCTCTCAGGAGTGCCCATAGGAATGAATGGGCCACCACAGTTCCTAAGATCTGTCTCTCAGCATTTTGACTTTGGATAGTCACACTCTTGATTGTGACAATATGGCAGACGGGTAGGTTAAACAATTGGGGATATAATCATTGATCTGTTTCTGAAATGCATGACTTACTAGTGGAAAAGGCCCAACTGCAGTTCGACCTCCACTGTGCTTAGCTGGAAGAACAAGCTAGCTCTGCAGTCTGTCTCCTGGTGACACTGCACAGTTCTTACCTCACTTCTGTAAATACAGTTTGTGAATCTGTTTTGTAATGTGAAAAATTCATAAGATAACATTGATATTTTGATTTGTAATATTTCTAATTGGTAGATTTAATTGAAAAGTAAAATTAATTTATTTTTATATGTTCAGGGGAATTTTAAAGTCAAACCTTTTGTAGATAATTTCAAAGAATCAGTGTGGTTTATTTTACTTATTTAACCCACTGGTTGTTATTCTGTAACAATTTGTATAAATGGTAAATTTTGAATGTGCTGTTATTTTCCTTAGATGTAAAATTCCACATGTATTAAAATGTACAAAGTTTTGTTAATAAAATTTAATGATGTTTATAGCCCTGTGCCCTTCTCTTTTGGACAGATGTCTGTCCTGAGCCCATGGACCCTCATGTGTGCCATGCTCCTTAGCACTGCGGTGTTTGTTCGGTACCATCTTAGAGTTGTCTGACTTCTCAGGGGTGGGCTGTGCAGAACAGCATGGAGCAGATTATCAATGGCCAGAGATGGCAAGTGATTGTTGAGAGAGTATGGGGTGTGTCCATAGTAAGAGGACAGAGATGGTTAATTATACTACATTAGCCGGATGGTGATGGCGCACACCTTTAATCCCAGCACTTGGGAGGCAGAAGCAGATGGATCTCTGTAAGTTTGAGGCCAGCTTGGTCTACAAGAGTTAGTTCCAGGATAGGCTCCAAAGCTACAGAGAAACTCTTATCTCACCCCCCCAAAAATTATACCACATTAAAAAAAAAATAACATACACAACTGATTAAAGACTAAGTCCACTTGTTCACCGAGTAAAATAGGGCATTCTCTGAAAGAGAATACAGATGTGTTTAGTGACCCTTGGGTGAAGGATGCCTCAGGATGTAGAGGTGTGTTGTCATTTCTTCTTGGTAATCAAGAGTTGAGTGATCAGAAAAATTCAATCCTAGATACCTAACTATTTTATTTTAATTGAGACGGGGTAGGGGGGGCTTGTGTGTCCTGGTCAGCTCAACTCAGTCTGTAGCTAAGGGTGGCCTTGAACTTGTGATCCTTTTGCCTTTGCTTCCTGGGTTACAGGTATGTGCTGTCTCTCCTGGTTTATCTGGTGCTAGGATAGAACCAAGGGTTTATGCAAGTACTTCTGGGGGAGCTACATCTCCATCCTTGAGCTCCCAACTTTATCATGGACTGACAGTTAGGTTTGTGGAAAGACACAAAAAATTGCCTTTAGAAAGTCTTTTCTGTTGGGCAGATGTGGTGGTTCACACCCACAAACCCAACGTCATCCGCTTCTCCAGAGGGCTCAGGTTCAGTTCCCAGCATCCATGTGGTGATTAACTATTTATAACTCTACTTTTAGGGTGAGTGATGCTGTCTTTGGGCCTCAGGCCACAATGCACATAAATGGTACATATATGCACATGGAAGCAAACATTCACCCAAAATGGGAGAAAAAAATATTGTCTGGTCTTCATTTGACAGTTGTGGTTACTCTAGGGTCTAAAGATTTGTTCACTCAGTTGCTAAACTGTCACCCAACCAAAGGAGGGAAGGGGATACTCCTCATAGCTCTGGGCAGTTTATAGGAGGAAGAGGCTCTTAGGATGATGTGTCCCTTTGCTACGCTGAATAGGCCATGTGCTTCAAGTCGACAGAGGCAGGTGCAGCTGGACTGGTGTGTACCACAGGGAGGTAGAGGCAGGAACTTCAGGAGCTCAAGGTCAGCAGAATTCAAGGTTATCCAAGTTCAAGTCTAATCTGGGCTACTTGAGATCCAGTCTCTAGAGCCAGTAGAAAGAAAATGAACCGGCCACCCTGGAACCATCTTTCTGCTAAATTAAAGCAACCCTTTAAAGTAGGATGGCAGTGTTACTGCAGCACTGGTGCCCTGGGCCTTGGAGGTGGTGGACAGTTGCTTCACTCCTGACCTGTGCCCTTAGCCAGGAAGCTCTGTTAAGTCTGAGGTCGATGTCAGTTCCAGCTACATTTACTCTTTTCTCAGTGTTTACAGTGTTATATCCAAATCTGCAAAGTCCCTGCAAAAGCCAACAAGGAGACCGAGTCCCGTATGTATAAGCAAAGAGCCTTTATTTTATGCAAGTTTGCAAAGTTGGTCTCTCCACATGTCCAACGTATTGGAATAATCAGAGAACTCTGAGCTCAATTAGAATAGGGTTTTATAGTAAAAAGGTGGAGGTGAGGGGTTTCCTCTTCTGAACTCAAAGGGCAACAGACATGTGGGGTGCACAGATATACATGAAGGCAAAATACACAAAAATCTTTAAAACAAATTATCTTAAAGGTTTTAAATTATATGTATTTGTGTGCATGTGTGTATGTGGGCTGGTTGTGTTGGACAACTTAGAGACTTTAGAGACTGGCACACACTTCCCATCATGTGGTTCCTGGAGCTTGTCAGCCAGTGGCATTATCCACTTACCCAGCTCCCAGCTCCTGAAGTCTCTGTCTTTTTTTTTCCTTTCTTTCAAATTCTGCCTGATGGCACCTGTTTTTCTCCTTGACTGGCTAACAGGATCCCTCAAATTTTTGGCCACACAGCCTGCTCCTGTGGGGCACTCAGTCCCCTGTTGTAAGCGGGTCAGTGCTTAGCCCTTGCAGACACAGCAGACTTTGGATGTAGTCAATGCCTGTTTGCAGTCTCCCATTTGGCAGCCAACTGAATCTTCATGTATGTGAGTCCACTGTGGGGGATTCTCCTTGGGACTATTGACCTGGGCCGTGAAGGATGGACCACTCTGGTTTCATGGTGTGCCATGAGAGCTTCCCCCAGTCTGCAGTGGGCAGCTCTGACATTGCAGTGGCCGACACTCCCTTGGCCTTGGGTTTTACTGTAGAACTTTGGGGGAAGCTTTGTCCCGTCAAAGCTGCCCAGCTTGTCTTGTGAAGAGACACAAGTCATGACTAGGCATGAGTCTCAAAGCTCGTGTGTGCAGTAGCGTATTTCATAATGTAATCAAAACCCAGGACCAGGAAAAAGTCAGGACAGACTTGGGCCACCGGAAGAAAACAGGTGCTCCCCTGAGTGCCATGCTGTCCTAGTAGAGCCTTGTGGAGTGACAGACTTGCAGGAAGGAGGAGCAGGGTGTATCCAGAAGGCCCTGAGGTAGCCAGGCTGGGAGCAGGAGCAGGAGAGGGCCGGGCCTGGCCCTGGCACAGCTGTGCTCCCATCGCCAGTCTGGGGTCAAGCTGAACTCTCCACTCCCACAGTTCTGTCCCCACACTCCCAAAAGCCAGAGTGCTGGGCCACAGGGATGGGGTGCAACTCTGTCCCCTACAGAACTTTGTTTCTAGAGAAGGCAGTGCAGCCCAGGCTTCAGCTCTTCAGCACCACCAGTGGGTGCCCTGGCTGTCGGAGGTGGGTGGCAGAGCAGGTGGGGCTGTGGGAATGGCCAGGCTCTGGTCAGAAGTGGGCAGGATTCAATATGATGCCTGCATCCCACTGCTGCACTCCTCCGCAGAGACCAGCATTGTGACAGAACAGTAAGTCACTGGTAGATAGTTCCTTGTCTGTCTGACATAACGTCTATTGTGAAGTGCCAGCCATGGAGTCCCAGGCCTCCTGCTTGCTAAACAAATGCTCAAGTGTTTCGCTGTATTCCTGGTAGCAATCTCCTGTGAGATGAACAGCTGGCAGAGACTTTCTCCCGCTTTCTAAGCTCTCTCCCCACATGATTAACTGTCTTTGGCTGTGTAGGTTTTGGCTTATCATGGGCCCATTTGACACATGATCTACCACTTAGGGACCAAGACTTCAACACATGAGCCTTTTGAGGGGACAACTCATTTTAAAAACTAAGAATATCAGACAATGTAGATTCAAGTATTTCCCACATTGTAGGCAATTTCCATTGAATGCTGCAGTATAAGGAGATGAAATGAACACCAATTTTACCTACCTTTAAAGTCACGACATTTGAAACATAATTTCACAATCCGGCAAGAATAGGTGATTTAGGCTGGGATTTTGGAAACATTTGGATTACTTAGTGAATTACATAAACACCTAAAGGATATATGATGTGAGACTCCCCTCTGTATGCTATTAATATGTCTTATTACCATTGGTTAATAAAGAATACTCTGGTCTATGGCAGGGGAGAATATAGCTAGGCATGAAAGTGAAGCTGAATGCAGGGTGGCAGGGAAATGAAAATGCAGTCTCTGTTTACGTAGTGATTTCCAATGTTCAGCAATGTAATCCACATAAAGCCTAAGAAAACGTAAAGAACAGGGCTTCTAGACCCACAAAAACAGCTATTGGAGCTTCTTGGTAGCCATATTTTTTTCAGATAGGCTGTTTGCTGGTTGCAAGCAGATGTGTGGCTTCTTTAAGACACATCATCCTGGTTTACAAGGGCAGCACGAAAGGCTCTTTTGGGAGGTCCTGCTATAGAGTGTTTGTGAGCAGCATGTTACAATTTTTTTTATTGATATTTACTGAGCCCTACATTTTTCTCTGCTTCCCTCCCTGCCTCTCCCCTATCCTCTTCAACCCTTCCCTAAGGTCCGCATGCTCCCAATTTACTCAGGAGATCTTGTCTTTTTCTACTTTCTACTTCCCATGTAGATTAGATCTATCTATGTAAGTCTCTCTTAGTGTCCGCATTGTTTAAGTTCTCTGGGATTGTGGTTTGTAGGCTGGCTTTCTTTGCTTTCTGTTTAAAAACCACCTATGAGTGAGTACATGTGATACTTGTCTTTCTGTGTCTGGGTTACCTCACTCAAAATAATGTTTTCTAGCTCCATCCATTTTCCTGCAAAATTCAAGATGTCTTTTTTTCTGCTGTGTAGTACTCCATTGTGTAAAATGTACCACATTTTCCTTATCCATTCTTCAATCGAGGGGCATTTAGATTGTTTCCAGGTTCTGGCTATGGCAAACAATACTGCTATGAACATAGCTGAACACGTCTTTGTGGCATGATTGAGCATCCTTTGGATATATACCTAAAAGTGGTATTACTGGGTCTTGAGGAAGGTTTCTGAGAAATTGCCACACTGGCATCCAAAGGGGTTGAACCAGTTTGCATTCCCACCAGCAATGCAGAAGTGTTCCCTTTTCCCCACAACCTCTCCAGCATAAGTTGTCATCAGTGTTTTTGATCTTGGCCATTCTTACAGGTGTAAGATGGAATCTCAGAGTTGTCTTGATTTGCATTTCTCTGATGCCTAAGGATTCAACATTTCCTTAATGTTGAATGTTAAGGTTCAACATTTCCTTAAGTGTCTTTCAGCCATTTTAGAATCCTCTGTTGAAAGTTCTCTGTTTAGGTGTGTACTCCCATTTTTTAAATTGGATTATGAGTTCTTTTGACTTCTTTTCCAG